TATGTCTCCTGCCTCCACCCATGCACAGCCTTCCCCACTATCAGCATCCTACACCAGAGCGGTACATTTGTCACAATCAGTGAACCTGCATCAATACATGCTTATCCTCCAAAGTCCATAGTTTACATTAGAGTTCATTCTTGTATCTTCTACAGGTTTTGACAAACTTATAATGACGTTGTAACTGTTGCAATATCATACAGAATAGCTTCACTGCCCTAAAAATTCTCTCTGCTCTGCCTATTCATCCCTCCATCCCTGCACCGTAGCAACCTTTTTAGTGTATCTGCTGCACCTATAATTTTTTCTTTTCCAGAATGTCATGTAGTTGGAATCATACAGTACATAGTTTTTCAGATTGGTTTTTCTTTAGTTGGTTTTTCTTAGTAATATACATTTAAGGATCCTCCACATCTTTTCATGGCTTGATAACTCATTTCTTCTTAGCACTGTATAATATGCCATTGTCTGGACATACCACAGTTAATACTTATCCATTCACCCACTGACGGACATCTTGGTTGCCTCCAGGTTTGGATAATCATGAATAAAGGTGCTGTAAAGGTGTGTGTAGGTTTTTTTGTATGGAAATTAAGTTTTTGGCTTATTTGAATAAATACCAAAGAGTGTGATTGCTAGGTTACATGGTAAAAGTATGTTTAGTTTTGTAAGAAAATGCCAAAGTATTTCCCAAGTGGCTGTATCATTTTGCATTCTCACCAGCAATGAATGAGAGTTCCTGTTGCTCCAGATCTTCACCAGCACTTGGTGTTGTCAGTGTTTTTGGATTCGGGCCATTCTTTTTTTGAGACAGAGTCTTGCTCTGTTGCCTGGGCTAGAGTGCCGTGGCATCAGCCTAGCTCACAGCAACCTCAGACTCCCAGGCTCAAGCGATCCTTCTGCCTCAGCCTCCTAAGTAGCTGGGGACTACAGGCATGCGCCACCATGACCGGCTGATTTTAGTTGTCCAGATCATTTCTTTCTATTTTTTAGTAGAGACTGGGTCTCGCTCTTGCTCAGGCTGCTCTTGAACTCCTGACCTTGAGCGATCCACCTGCTTCGGCCTCCCAGAGTGTTAGGATTACAGGCGTGAGCCACTACGCCCTGCCAGATTTGGGCCATTCTAACAGGTGTGTAGTGGTATCTCTCTCTCTCTCTTTTTTTTTTTTTTGGCCTTTTTTTTTTGACAGCAGAGTGCAATGCAGAAGTATCTCATTGTTTTAACTTGCAATTCCCCAATGACATACCATGTTGAGCATGTTTTCATATGCTTTGTAGACCATCTGTATATTTTCTTTGGTGAAGTGTCCAGATCTTTGGCTCATTTTTAATGTGTATATCTTGATTACTATAGCCTTACACTAAGTCTTGATGTTGGGTAGTATCAGGCCTTTCACTTTGCC